ATCTGTGCTTCGTTGGATTCTCTTTGACAGCCAAGTTTGTATTGTTAAACATATTCCCATCATGGTCTTGTCTTGAGTACAAGTCCAAGCATGCTTCTTCCGCACAACTCTCTGCAGATTGTGTGCGATAGTCATATATGTGTTGTTCAAGGAAGGATGGTTTATGGTCCGCATCCTTATTCTTAACAGAAGATATCACCTCTGAATCCCTATTTAAGTGTTCAACATTAGCCTTTATAGGTTCTTCTTTCTTGGTAATCCTTGAACTTTTAGGATTATCAACATCAAAAATATTTTCGACGGGGAAACCACAGGCTGACATCTTCTCTGGATCCATCAAAGAGTCAGGGAGCAAATCTTGCATTACATCTGCATAGAACTTTTTAACACTTGCACCAACAGTCTGTACCTGATTCTCAACAAATTTGACTGTGTCCTGTCCCAAATAAAAGAATGAGCAAGAATATCGGTTAATGGGAAAGGAAACCACTAGAGCAACTCAAGAATAAAATTAAAAAGACTACTGTCTCAGATGAACACAAAATCATATAAAGCCGTATTTGGCATAGGGCACTGAAATAGATGATCATAGATATAATTGTAAAATAAATAACCAGTACAAAGAACAATACAGGCAAGAAAAAGATGTCAATAAGTGCTGAAAGGAGGATGAAGACGAAGAAATAATTGTAAACTTATGAATTAACACCTCCAAAGGGCTTACCTGGTACATATTTTCTTCCACCTCCAAGCACATAGATTCGAATTTCTCATATACACCCCCAACCCAGGTTATACCATTTACATCCATAGTGATCATGAATTAAACTTTACAGAACAGGTGTATCTTCCGCTATTTTGTAGTTCCGGTAATCAATTCTTATATCAAATTGGCATTCATCTGCAAGAAATCATATGAAATTTAGAAGAAGTCCACACGAAACATAAAAATGACTCTTATCTGAAGAAGCAAAGGACCCATAAAATGTTTTTTTGAGTAAATTATAAGCTTCTAGCTACGGGAAAATGTACATAGCATTCAAACAGAAATATTATACCAAAATGGTGCATGATTTTTCTAGTGCTATTGAATTTGTTCTTTCTGCTGTTAAGCGTGTGCCATTGACTTAAATATATTTAAAAATTATTGAAAAAAGCCAATGTCTTCAACAAAAGTACAGAAATTTTTGTAACCGATGATACCCAAAGATTCCAACAATGAGATCTATTATCAATTAACAAAAAGCTATTATTTAATATCCCAAAAGGGGCACCTAACAAAGGCAAACGCCAGAACATGGTCTAGTTCGTAAAAATAAAAAGAATCACAATACAGATGCACTGCAACACACTTCTTGTTCAACTGTTGATAATCATGATCTTCCAACACAGAAACAAATTTAATAAATATCTCCTGTACCAAGTTCAGGTAATGCTTGCCCTTTACATTCAAACTCTTTAATGCAAAAAATGATTCCACTTCAAAAAGCACACTAATTCTGTTGTGCTTTCATGTTGCATGGAGGTGCAATCATCAAATAAATGCTAAATTAAGAATTTCATATATCCCCCCTCCCCTTCTCTCCTCTCCCAAAACGCAGCCATTAGTCACTCTGGACGCCAGCCGAAGGGAAAGATAAAATTTGCATACTCGAGCATTTGTGTGAATGCATACAGAGAGTTATGGCCTTTGGATATAAATATTTTAATGAATAAATTGTTACCAGAGCTGCAAGAAATATCTCTGAAACACTAAATCGCCTATTATGGAACAAATGAGACATTCTGGCTCTGTATGATACCTACGAAAAGACAAAACTTTACTAGGAAAGATCTAACGGGCAATAAAGCAATACAGCAGCATTCTAGCTTATGCTATATGTCTATGGTAGCTTTAAAGATTTCAAGTCTAGTCGATTCCCGGATGCTTTCCGTCTCTCAAAATGACACTAAGTTGTTTATAAAAAATCAATTTTAGTAGAGTTACACCCAGTCTCAGCCAAAATCATTATCAGTGTGCTACATGGAAACATGTCATAGTTTCTGTTGGTGAACTGAACAAATCAGACAAACAAACCAACTGATTAGAACAGTAACTTTCTCCAATTACCATCTGTACATCACCTCAAACAAGGACTAACATTAGGCATCATATCATAAAGTTTGATGGGTATGTCACATGATTGCCTTGATGAAATAGAAGTTAAAAATTATTGACTGGACAACAGCCCAAAACACAGCCAACATGGAAGACTTGCACATACATAGATAGAGTATAGGACAATTAATTTGTCTCCATGGAGAATCCTATCATTATATGACTGGAAGTCTTGGCATCCTATAATTACTTTAGAAGCAAAACCAAAGGCCTAGTATTTGAGAGCCATAATAAATAATCAAATAAAATAGAAAACCAAAACCTATTTCAGGAAGCAACAGCACTAACGATCCTTAACTTGAAATGCAAAGCAATCTATCTACAATTAATTGAACCCAACTAGAGTAAAATGTTCAATTAATTTACCAATCCATTTACAGTTAATTGAACCCAGATAGAGTCCTTCAATTAATTTACCATTCATATCTCATAACGCAGAAATTCACTCCAGAGAGAGAGAGAGAGAGAGAGAGAGAATAAGAGGATACAGAGCCAGGAAACTAATAAAAGTAGCTCATTTATATGATTTTCCAGCTATCTTCGTACAGGGACCAAAAACAAAAGAGCCACTCTTGAATTTGATTATCAAGATTGGAACCGTGACAACTATACAGTAGTTTCGACTATCCCACAACAATTTCACATCACAGGCCCAGCACCGTACAGATACAAAAGCTTTTCACAAAACCTAAGTCACAACAAACTGATCATCTACATGAAACAAGGAAAACTAAATATGCAATAGAAAAAACAGCTCGCATGATCAGGGCACAGAAACTCTATTGTAATCATGATCCAGTATACAGCAAAATAAATTTGATGGTCAGTATGAAATTTGAAGTTTGAGAACTTACTTGTTGTGAATTGTGAGAGATGAATCAGATGATCTTGTTGTGAATTGTGAGAGATGAATCAGATGATGTAAATACCCAGAAGCCAAAAAGCTTGAGAAGTCATGGATTACGCATAAACCCCAATTCTGTTTTGGCTTTGCTTATAAAGGTACTAGAAGAAATAATAAACTACGGACCAAGACACGGAACACACAAGAAATATGAAGGAGAGAGGTCGAAGAAACGTAAGACAGTTCATTGACCTTTCTTTCCATTCCAGCCTCCACGTGTATAAATTTGATTAAACAAATCAAAATACTTTTGGGGTAACTGTATGTTTTTACACTATCCACATTGAGGGTTATTATCAGAAGACTTATTTACCGTGAAAGTATGGTCAAATTTTACTTTGTTTCTTGGAAGCCAAAGTGACCCACTTTATCTTATCGACCAAATTCTTTTTTAAAATTTGTTATTTATAAAACCCTATGGAGTATTGACCAAAGTTTGGTGTTCCATGTTGTCTACGCTGTTATATCCATCTAAACTCCATCAATTTTGATGATGTGGCAAAGGTGGTTTAGTCATTTCATATATGTGTCTTTCTACACACAAATTGAACTGCTGATGTGGCAAAGTGGAGCCCACCTCTAGCCCAAACTCGTTGACTAACGACTTTTTTACTTAAAAATTGGGAAATAAACTTACAAAATGGGAAATTAAAGTTACAAATTGAGGAAATAAAGAGGGGTCCATTCAATTAGGATTCTAGAGCATTTTAAAAGAATTTTTTTAAGTGCCAAATTTCATGGAACTCTATGGAACTTTTAGATTTCACATAGACTTGAGAAGAGTTCTGAATAATTTTATTATAAGATTTGTATGGCTTTTATTCCAGACAATCAAAAAGCCAAGAAGAAACGTTTGCTTTTCGCCTAGCAGTAGTGGTGCTTTCTTTCTTTAGGACATTTGTTTCTGATTCCTCTCTCATTTGGCACTTTGTATAAAAAGTATGGTGCAATAGCTATATGATTTTGGAAGAAACTTCGGATTTTTTTTCTTGTGGTTATTGAAGACTTAAAATACATAAACTCTCTTCCCTAGTGATTTCTAACCAGGTAGTTTGGTCAAACATAGTAATGGTGAATGATTTTCTTATAACAAAAAACAAAATTCATTAAAAAAAATTATATAAAATACATAAACTCTCTTCCCTAGTGATTTCTAACCAGGTAGTTTGGTCAAACATAGTAATGATGAATGATTTTCTTATAACAAAAAGCAAAATTCATTAAAAAAAAAATTATGTTTAACAAAAAACAAAATTCATAAGAAATTCATAAGAAATTCACAAGAAATATAGTGACAAATGTATAACAAATTTGAAAGCAAAGTTTAAGGAAAATATTTGACATTCATTCATTATCCTTGATTCTCATTGTTGTCATTGTGCCCGGCATCTCTTCACATATTCAAAGCTATACCAACTCTCCATTCATGAGCATTTTGTCGTTGTTGTTCTTGTGTTTGGAAACCTAGTTCAGGATCCCCTTCATTAACCGGTAATAATAAAGATGAAGAAGATTCTTTCTCCAATTCAACAGGAAATTCGTTAGATCTACACTCTCTTCGAAGAAAGTTGTGTAGTCCTACAGAAGCTAACACTAGCTCTGTTTGTGTCGTATATGGGAATGGAGGTGCGGATTTGAAAATTGTGAATCGTGATTTAAATATACCAAATATCCTCTCAATGACATTCCTCAAGGCTGCATGACGAAGATTGAACAACTCAACTTCATTTGCAGGTTTACGACTTTGACCATCAAACTCTAGGAGATGATATTGAACACCTCGAAATGGAGCCAAAAATTGGCGTTGATTTGGAAATCCACAATCCACTAAGAAAAATTTACCTATCTAATGTACGACCGAATGTAAACTATAAATGAAAAAATAAAAAATAAAAAAAATACCTT